TTCAACAGTAGGCAACCTTTAGTCCAAATATAATTTACAGGGGGGAGAAAAGAAAAAAAACAACCAAAAACATTTCACAGCAAGAACACTGGAGACGGACGTTTTTTCTGTCTGTGTGTGAAATGACATGTCATCCAGGAAGGGCTTATCTGAAGAGTGCAATTACGCAAAGATAGAAGCTTTTTAAAAATAAAAGTTGTATAACCTCCAGAACCTGTTGGATTTTAAAACCTAACTACAGAAAGACAGAGGATTGCAATATTAGCGAGGAACCGCTGTAATTTCTGTGATTTAAGGCAAGCTGTTAGCAGGACTAGTACGTTCACGCTCCTTGTACCTATCGTCTCACACGCCCCGCCGTTCTCTCAAAATATGTGCCTGTACAGATAGTGCAAGAGGTCACACCCCAAAAGCAGCCCTCAAACTGGAAGAAGAATCTTGTAGCAACAGTTGCTACAACACATCTATTTGGGATTTGCAACGACAGTAATTGTCTTGCAGTTTTCCTTGCAGGAAGAAAGCAAGGGACACACATGTTGCATGAAAAAGAGACACCACCTAAATGCATTAATGAATACAACTGAGCACTGATGCCCCTCCGGCATCTCCAATACACTCGAGAACTCTCCAGCTTTGCTCAAGTGTAAGGGTTTTAGCCTGAGCAAGATTGTGACCTCTGGGAGGAAAAGGATGTACGTAGCTGTTACACTTCGCAGCTCCCATCTTTGCTGGTTGTTACAGGTCCAGCCCAATGGACCTATAAAAACACAGTATTTTTCATCAACAGAAAAATACACTCATGGCACTGCATCAGGTGGGTTCCTAAAGTTTCTCAAGGGTAAATGAAAAGGCTGATGGCTCCCTCCTGGGGAGCAGCTGCTCCATCTTCAATTTATTGTCAGTACAGGTAGCCGCACCGGGGAAGAGGATGTGTGATGATAAAAGGCCCTGAGCCACATGCGATGTAGCTCCAGTTGGTCACTCTATTGCACTCCAAAACTAGCACCCAGGAGGACCGGCGCTTTTGTTTGCAGCTTGACTTGGCTCCCTTTCAAAGGGTCAACTGCATGCAGATTAAAAGCAGTATACCAAAAAGTATGACAAATAGGTAATACTTAACTCGGGTCAATTAAAAAAAATAGATTACTCATCCAGGCATAAAATCCTGGGAGCAAAGGATGGTAACCTTAAACTATTCAAGTCTAAGAACAAGAGGTAGAGATACCTATGTACTTCATGGTGAAGGAGTTACAGCCTTCTGTCTTACAGTCTCATGTATTTCACTTCAGTTAACAATATAAAACCAAAGATTCGATCTTCAATAGTCCAGAGAGAAGGTTTTTAACACTGGTGGTTTTGTTTGCACATCACAAAATTTAAGCAGACACTTAGCTTTCAGTACTTATTTGAAAAAATATTTATGTTATTCAAACACTACCCTGAAGAACTTTGACTTTCAGGCTAAGCATCTTCCTTTTTAATATAAAAGGCTAAATTCACATGCACGCATTTTGAGCGGAGTGAGCTCAAGGGAAGAACTGGGCACCCAATTTACTGAGGATCTTCTAAAAAAAGGGATCATACTGCAGAACACAAGGCTGCAAGACCCTGAAACTCACAATGACTATTATTTTCCAATGAATGGGAATGATGTAACCTCAGCCAACAAATTACATCACGACTGAGGTGGCTATTAACTATGTGGTATTTCTTTAACTTTGCTGATTTTTTCTTTTTTTTTTTTTAAAAAAAAAAAGCTTAGAACTGTAAGAAAGATACTCACGTTGACAGTGTCACGAAAATACTAAGGTCACTAGTCAGTGCATGGCCATGCCTGGGAACCACGAGTGACAGGCTAGTACCTGTCCTGGGATCCCTGGGTTCTTCAGGCTCTGACAGACATGCAAGGAGTGAAATAAAAGTCACACAGGCAAAGCTGCTGCTGCCCCCAGCACTCTGACGCCCCCACCTGAGAGCCACCATGCCCTCAGGAAGTGGGGCTGCATCTATTTGCAACCAACCCCGAGTCACTCACTCGTCAGCAGAGCAGGATGAGCTCGTTTCACGCTCTTACACGCACTTGGCTGAAAAGCTCTAGTGGATCAGAAGCTGATTCACCAGCAGATCTGCCTCGCCAGCGGGGGGAAGCCAGCGCTCCTCCTGGAGCGGACTGAACTGCCACAGGCTTCAGCTCTCTGATTTGATGCCACCTGCCACACCTTCATTTATTTTTCCTGTGGTTCTTTCATTGCGATTGCACAGTATTAAAAAAGCTATTTCTCCATATACAATAGCACCAGCAGCAAGTAAACTCACAACTCAATGTTCAATTTCAACTAATTTCCTCGGTCATGTTTTATGGCCAACTACGGGTGGAATCTTTCAAATCCTTGCTTGAATCAATAGTCTTTGACCTCAGAAACACACCCACACAAGTAAAAAATAGCACAACTGAACCTCCAGTTGATCTGGGAGCAACATTTTAAAGGTGTTGCAAACTATAATGTGGTGCAGGTGGTCAGTGTTTTATTACTTAGGAGTAAAGTTTACAGGAGTTGTATTTCTGTGCTTATAAGGGAAGGCAATAAAATACCACAGACTGTGGACGTCAGACCAGTTTTCCAGTATATTAGTAAAACTATCTATATTGTTATCTATAGTTATTTATCCCAAGTTGCAGCAGATTCACTACATGCATCAAGTTTTCTACCGCATACTCTAATTATAGTTGCAATGGTTTCAAGGATCCCATCAGCATCACTGCTCACTACAGTCCTGTGCCCTATACAATAAAGATTTAAATTATTTAAAAATGAACTTATTTGGCCTGTTCCACAGATATTCACAGTTTAACCATTAAACAAGCATATTTTCAGAGGCTCCAATATTGTTAAAGACTTCTCAGCAACGTGTACAAAACCCCACTCCCACACAGGTACACCAGCATTACAGAGTACCGTCTGGTCTCGTTTAGGATCATAAAATCCCCAGGCAATCCAAGGGAAGGTCTGACGCGCTCTCGCACTTTCACCACTGCCAAAGAGTTGCACCTTCAGCTCCTGGTTCAGGAGTTTAAAACTGACACAGGTCTGGCTTGCATTCTGTAAATGGTAATTAAAAAAATGAAGTTAGGCTAAAAATAAATGGTTCTTTGGGTAGAATACTTGCAAAAATAGCTAAATGATCTATCTAGCCATGAGTGGTGTTGTTCCTGCTCGGCTGAAAGCGGCAGAACAAGAGCAAGGCTTTCCTCTCATACAGGACTTAAGCCACTGAGAACTGTATGTCCTTTCCCCAAAAGGCAATAAGATTCTTCCCTTCCCGTATATTCACCACCACCATCTTTAAAAAGAAGCTGTATTACATTTGATGCACTAAAACGGGCTAAGTCTTGTTGCGCTACAAATTGATTTCCTTACTGCAACCCAGATTCAGACCACAGGATAAACACCTTCCTTAAAGAGCTCTATCCCTCATCCTTTGGAGCTGCTGCAGTTCAGCGTATAAATCAGTAGCAGCCACTGTCACGATTTTGTGTGCATGCACATGCTATCCATTTGAATACTTAGTTTTCTCACTCTGGACCTTTTAAATTCTCTTTAGGAAAAAAAAAATTAAGTGATGAACAAAGCATTTAACAGCTGAATGAATGAGTAGTCTCAAACTTATAAATACAGTCTTCATTTACTATCAAATCAATCTCCATTTGGAACTTTTGCTAACAAAGCAGCCTCTGTTGGGGAAATTTTATTTTATTTTTTTAAATAACAGCACCAGCAAAAGTCTCACCATAAATTCAATCATACCAACACAAGTGCTTTGGCCTGCTTTGCTCACCAAATCAGAATAAGATTTTGCTGCCAAACAGTGCTTGTGCCATGGTAGCTTGGAAGGTTATAGTAACAAGGACAAAGCTTTGGATATATTTCCCTATAATACAGCAAGTCCAGGGCTCCCCCTCCGCAAAGGGGCTGACTCAGCTGCTTCTGGAACAATTACATTTGTTTTCCACAGCTTAATATGTCTCCCAGCAAGAGCTTGCAGAAGCAGCGTGGACCAAACTCTCCTTTTATTAGATGAAAGAGATGCTATCTGTGGCTTGTGGGTTTGTTTTTAAACAGTTTTCAATACCCACATTTCATTAGTGATTTATGATCTCAGACCCAAGCTATTGCATAGGCTGCGCACCAGCAAAGCCAGTGACAGAATTCAGGCAGATCCTCCTCTCTCTGCTAACCCCTCTGGGGCACAGCAGATGTGCAAAGCATGCCATCCTGGATGCAGTGCCAAGCTCGCCCCTTAAAAATCTGTTTCCCTTTAGCTTTAAAACCCTTATATCACAAAAGTCGTTAGATGCTGTGGATGACTGTCCAGTTTCTTTTTTTGTTTCGGTTTGGTTTTTTTAATTGAAGGCGTTTTATGATCCTGAAACGCAGCTCTGAAAATAAAAGGTGTGTAATGGAAGTGTATCAAATTCATTAAGCCAGTACTTAGCTCTATAGAAAGCCTTGGCAATCATCCCTTTTACCAAAAGGTGTAAAAAAGTTGACATACTAAAATTAAAAAAGGTAGCATCAATAACCAAAAAAGTTTCAACCAGTGTTAATAAAACTCCCTTTAAGTCACAACAGTTTCAACAGGCAAATAGTCCCAATACAGGCATTGTAAAATAATAAATTGACTCCTATCCAAATATTATCAAATCAGTCTAAAAATGACTCATCTACACTGTTGTCATTAAGAACACATTAAGAATTCACTTTGTCATCAGATGCCGATATTGTTGCTCCAGAAAGTGTGGAGTATTAACTGCGATTTAGCAATTAAACACAGGTTTTAAAAAATTGGTTTGTTGATATTAATGCAAGAGATAGTTCCTTACATAGAAGTACTGTGCTTGCCAGACAAGTAAGATAATACTTTAGGTATAAATCAAACAAATTAAAGCAGAATTATACCACAGTTTTCCTTGAAGACTTAGGGTTTGTGTGTTGCTTCTGTCAATGTTTAATAAACTTAAGAAGCAGAACCTTTGGTTCTTTTAGTCAAGTAAAAATATTCTCATGTAACCACAAAAATACAACTTCCAGAGAAAATGGAAGTCCATCAAGAAGTCCACTTTCAATAAAACTGAGGTAGTACTGCTCTTTTATTACATGATGTGTAAGAGATTTAGATACAAATCATCATCTACCACTCAGTTGACTGACAGGTACAGTAATTTTATAAAACAATCCCAACATTTAGTTTGAAACTCCAAAAAAAGGAATGATCTGGACTCATTCACTAAGAGTTAGCTTTAAAATGGGAATTAGCCATATTACAAAAAGCTTTTGCTTATGTTGTTTTTTAGAGCCTTATTACTGGGGGGATTAATGCATTTATAGTTAACAGTTAACACTGCTGTTCATCTTGGTATAAAACCTTTAAAATTATTACAGCCTAAAATTTCAACAATGTAAACAGCACTACACACAGTACAGACCTGCCCTGACAGATGTAGGATGAAAAACTTAATCTGGCACTGTATAATTTAGCAATGTTAATTTAACCTAACTAAAAAGATCTACATTGTGCAAGAAATATCAGACTTACTTATACTAATCTGAAGTCTTAAAAAACACAACCCCAAAAACGCTTAACTTGTAGCCAGGGTCAAATATTTCAGGGCAAGAGTAAAAGGAATAACCAAAATTAAGAAAGTGCCTAAAACATGATACAGCATTTTAGAGCCCTTTCAAAGACAAGGCAGAAAAAGGTGTAAAGTAGAAAAGTCTGGAGCCTCGGTAATTTCCAGAAACATCCAGAGTTTACATTTCATGAAGGGCAACAGGTTGCTTCCATCACTGCTGCTTCGATGCCACTAAGTCTGTTCCTCCGCACACAGGCCCTCTGTGTCCGAAGACGTAATACATTTGGTTTCCTCTTCCTTTTTCCTTCGCTCCATTTCCCACTCCACAAAGGTATCGAAGAGACTCGGCCAGGCCTCGTCCTCGCTGTAGTTGCTAAGGTCCGGTCCAATCACCTGAGTAAAATTTAGAAACATGTTCCACGTGTCCCGGGAGATTCCCTTGATTCCTGAGGGGTTCTCGATTAGGAAGTGTAACCACTGGTCCAAAATAGGGGGCTTGTTTTGGGTGAAGACTAATTTCCAAAGGGCAATGGCTATTTCCCGATGTAGCGACCTCTGTCCTTCTTCAGAGTCCAGGCCGAACTGGAAGGTGAAACGATAGAGATCCTTGAATTTGTCTTCCTGCTTGGCTTCGTTTAAGAGGCTGGGGAACCTTGCACAAATGCCGTCAATGCTGTCTGCGTTTATTGCTTTGCAGCCTTCAAAAAACTCCTTCCTATTAAGCAAGAAAAAGAAATTAGTGCAAGCACTTCCCACCGACCTCACATGCTGAACGCTTCCCATTTCTGTTCAGCTATGCCGAATTGGAAGAGGGTTATCCAGACAAGACAAGGTGTGCTCTCAGCCCAAGCGGCACAAAGATCTTGGCAATGGGAGCTACTGGAAGGGGAGACGTTTCCAAGAAACTTCTCATGGCCTGGGGAACCACAGACACCACTCAGATCTGCTGGTGCACTCGAAAGAGATTCTCCTGTCTGGCTTTCTGACTACTTGATAATCCCACATCCAGCACCTTTCACATCAAAAAGTGAATAAAATTACCACAGAACAAATGCCAAATGTTTGAAAACACCACATTTATGCACTGGAGTGCCATATATAAACCATCTTGATTCAATACTGCCCATGTCTAAATGCCCATGCTCTAGGCGAGCTGTTCTCAAGGGACAGAGCAGTTCACTGGTGGCTTTCCTCTGGGTTTTGGTTGCTCTTCCAGCCTGCAAAAATAAAAAGGGTGCCAATAGCGACGGTCAGCAAAGGCACCTGCCAAGATCGCAGAAGAGAGCACAGCATCACGCAACACAGGCTACAATGCAACATATAAACACTGCTCAAAGCACCAGTCCTATACTAATTAGCCTACTAATAATCTGGCCAAGTGGGTAGATGGTTAGCTCCGATTTCTCTAATGCTCATGAGCAAGTGTTATAACCAGCCAATATTAACCGAAGCCATCAGACTCTGATGCGGGATGGGCTGGAGGGAAGACAGGAGATGGGGCAGTGCTCAGGAGAACAGAAGACCACACCGCTTTCCTTGATGGAAGAAGTCGATCAGCGCTCGCATCATGGAGTATGCCGTTAAACGGAGATAACCTCTCACCACTAGATTTGCCCTCTTTCCAAGAAAATCAAAATGATCTTAATAAAACTCGTGGTAGCTGTGCCAAATCACAGACACTACCTGCAATTCCTTTACCACGCTAGCAAATACCTGCACCATCAGCCTCTAGTAAATCCACATTTGCATTCCAGAATAACCCAGCCATTTGACACACCCCCACATCCACAAAGACTCTGAAGATGCTGGAAAAGTTACCTGTGTTCAGTGCACAGCAGGGGCTTGGTTCAAGGCTCAGAACACCAAAGTAATTTTGAAAGTTATTAACTGAGTAGAAATAGGTAGCATTACTCAAACCAATCAAGATAGACCAAAAAAATAAAAAATACATTCTCTCTCAGCAAGTTCCTGTAGGAAGTCTTTACTTGCTCTTACCTGGACATTGATAATCAAGTTGAGGGAAGCTGTGGTAGTTTTGGGTTGTTTGGGTTTTTGTTGTTGTTTTTTTGTTTTGTTTTCTGGTAAGTTTTAGCTGTTCTGTCTTTTCCTGTAGCATCACACATGCTATAAGCCTGCTGACTGACCGCCTTGTCCAGAAGGACAGATAATACTTTAAACACCAATCACTTGTCAACCAATATGAAACAGATACCAGTGTCAAAGAAACCTCGCGTCTCCTTCCCTCTCTATGCTTTAATAGGATTACTCTTGGAAAAAGACATTAAGTGTAACACTGGTTGGGCAGGAACAACTCTTAGGAAGCTGTCTGTCATTCTTTCACAGAATGGTAACAGAGTTGGTAACAACTACTAAGGAATCTCACGTTACTTTAAAGCGAAAATTAATTTCAGTGTCTGATCTCATCACCAAGATAATGCTGGACACAGTAAAACTGCTTTTGGTAAATCAAGAATAAATGAATGTCAACAGAATCTCACTACACTGTTCATTGTTAGCAGATCATGTCCAAAACCACATTTTTGGTTCTGAAACCCACTGTGAGGGGAAGAGGAAAAGAGGACAATACAGAGCTTACCTTCTTCAGTGGTAGGAATTAATTTGATCAAAATGCAAGTGTTAGAAGAAATAAGTAAGTGAAGATAATGAGGCTGTCTATCCAACATACAGATGACAGGATATACTTTAACATATGAAAATAATTACAAGTTCTACAAGAACTAACCTTGTAAATTTGCACATGGTAGCAGCCTGGAATTTCCAAGCCAAAACTAGCACTTTAAATTCAGTGGGATCAACACAGAGGTCATTGCAAAATCGTTCCATTCCTTCTTCCAGTATGGCATCTTCCCGTTCATCCTTATACCTCCTAAATAACTCCCCAATCCTTTGGAGCGAAGATTCTTCCGTGCTGGAAACGGAGTCTTTCTTTGTATCTCCAGAGAACGTTGGAGGCTGACTAGACTCTACAGCAGCATCTGTTTTCTTTGTCCCATTCACAAGTATATCTCCTGAAGACTTTCCGCAAGCTGAACCATGGTCATCTTTGTGGACTGCACTTCTCTTACTATGCGACTTGCTGCTGGATTCCCTTTCCCCATTTTTGCTGCCAAGGGTAGAAGAAGGATTCTTGCACTTTGTGACACACTGGCCCATGATGTTGCAAGCCCAGCTTCTAGAGCAGTCCCCTTGCCGTCAGACACCCTCGCAGCTGCTCTTCAACACATCTCACCATGCCATTAGCGGTAGTCAACTAACCTGAAAAACAGTTTCAGAGTCAAATTGCTGTTTCTCCACAAAGAATATTGTAAATATTAAATGTGGGATAACACTTGCCAGTAAGAGACCAACTTCAGGATATTTAAGTTTTGCGTACTGAAAAGGAGTAGTGTACAGAAGGTTGGCATACGCCATAAATTTCAGGCAATTTCAGGCTGTTTTACCTAGAAATCAATGCAGCTCACTCAGTGGCTGCAGTATACTAACGGGTCCTAATAAAGGAAATTCCTAAAATTCTTACTGTAACATAGGTTACAAAGAGGTTGATTCATGTACAGGCTTCATCAAGACAGACTACTCTAACCCAGAAATATTTTAAAGGAAATGGCTTTTAGAAGTATACCCGCATTTTATATATAGAATATAAAACACTGACACAAACAGCGGGGCGGGGGGTGCGGGGTGTGGACACTGATGGGACAACCTGGCAGACTGAAGCAGTAGATTTAGACCGTACCTTCAGCAAATGAGCAAAAGCGGTTGGTTGTGTTTTTGGTGGTGGTTTGTTGGGTTGAGGTTTTTTTTTGGGGGGGACGGGGACAGGACACAACAGGGAATGTATTTGTTTTGGGGTTTTTTTTGTTTGTTTGTTTGTTTTAAAAACAGAGTTTGGAATCTAGATTCTTGTTCTTAAAACATACAGAGAGCATGTTTGCAGAATAGAGGCAACACTCACTTTTCATGCAAGATGGTATTTAGGAATCATTGTTTCAACTGGGTGCCACCCTTCAGGTAACAAGACAGACAGGGGGAGGGGGCCTTTTTAGTGAAACTTTTTCAGACAGACACACATGCAGATAAGAAGTAGTAATTCCAGTTTGGTTTTTTAAAAAAATAAAAATTAAAATGCCAAAATGATTTCATCATACCCTGTTTTCATAAATCACAATGTTAAAGCCTTGCATATTGGGAAAAGATATTTTACCCACAGAAAAGGGTTTTTAAATTTTCCCTATTAAAACCAAAGTAACACTCTGACACTATCCTATCAGAATGCAGCACGCCGTGGACAGTCCTTTTCTCAGAAACATCAACTCCAAGAAAGCAACTGCTTATCTTATTCCTCATTTACCCGCTTACTTGCATTTCATCTCCACTGTAAGTTAGGCAAAAGCCTCAAACATAAAAATTGGGTTTGCCCTGTCTTTGTTTACTGCTTCCAGGTTACAGCATTAGAACAAGAGAAAAAGGAGATAAAAATTAAAATTTAAGAAATAAAATAAATGTCATGTCAGTTTTTCTGTATTCTTTCTTGGGTAAAACTCTTCTGAGACCAAATCCCTGTTTTAAGCTGTAAACCAACTTGGGGCAGCAGCACCAAGTGCAGATGAATTCTCCAGAAATTAGGATTAGAAACATAAATCTTCTCTCAGCCATTATACCCATTTTGGCAAAACAGCGCATATGCAGTTTCACGAGGAAAAAAAAATACAATAATCTTTTTGCCAGTACAACTACAACAGCTAAGATGCTGGTTTCAGCTACCTGACTTCCCTTCCCTTGCCCTCCCCAGTCCCTTTCTTATTAAGCCCATAACCCACAAATAAAACTAACAAAAACCTATTTTTAAGCAGCAAAAGGAACAAACATCTGGTACATCCTTTCAAACTGCTTTAAAGATGAACTTCGTATAGGCAAGAAAAGTTCAATTTAATGTATTCAAGAATTATTTCTTATTCATTTGTATTTTAAAGGATTCATTAGAATACGCATTTCCATGTAAACAGCTAGCACTACTTTGGCTAAGTTTTTAATCAGAGAGAAGCATGCAAGTAGAGGAAGAGAATTCAAAAATCCCAAGTAAAAACTACTATTAAAGTAGAGTTTAGCTAGTTTATAAAACTTTCTGCTCAAACGCATAACAGCAATTATTAGCTGTTGGGGACTGGGAACAGGTTTTTCCTACGGGCAAGTGAAAAAATAGCTGCCTATTAGTGAATGGTACTTTCCTCTAAAGTAGCTGGTAGCAGTGAAACCATACGTAGCATAAGGGACAGAGATGAATCCAATTCACTATAGGAATCCCAATTTAAAGTTAAAAAAAAAAGACTAACTTACATAATCTGTCCATAAATTTTCCTAACACAAGTGACTCATGCTGTCGTGCTTCTAAGCAACAGCTTGTATTAATGATGACAATCTAATATTCAAGTCTACAAAGCGACATCACCAGTATGATGAAACAGACGGGGTTTATTGTCATTTGCTGTCATGAAAAGACAGCATTACAATACAGAGAGGGAAGATCAGCCAGCATTATTAAACACCTGTATGTGAGGAAGCGTCCTGACAGCTGTTTCCAAAAACCACTGGAGAGCACAGTAACATTAACCCATAGAGTGCACGTTAACCATGTCCCCTGCAGCGTACCCCTCAAACAAACGCGTTTTCTGTACTCCAACCTACTTGCCTTGCAAGGAGCTGACTGCCGCTCCCGAGCAGCCACTGCCTGGGCTCTGCGAGCACTGCTCTTCCCCGCAGTAACAGAGCTCTTCCTTCCTCCTCCCTACCAAGGAGGTTTTCAGAGCCCAATCCTACTCGTTATGAACAAACACTAGAAGATACTGAAGTACAGTTGCTGCAATTCCTCGCTTTTCTACTACATGAAAGTTGATGCCACGTGCCAGATACTTTGAAGCTTTCTACCCCAAAAATAGCAAAACCAGCTTGAAAAAAAAAAAAAAAAGCCAGACTGCATCCGCTGGCAGTTTGTGCACGTATCTGGTTTTGTAAGAGACAAATCTTTTGGCGCTCCATCAGTTACCCTTTTATAAAATGCCTCCACTGAGCTGGATCCACTTCACTTACTAGTCACCTCCGCTTCCTACATGACTCAGGTTTCAAGGCATGAATGGAACAAGAGCCTCGGCAGGAGACAGAAACAAGTGGGAAAACTCGGCCCTTTTGTTAAGAAAGGCTGGAAAAGAGGATCCAGTTGCAGCATCAGGAGCCGCACTGAACTCAGTGTTCAAGAAGTATGAAAAAGCGCTCTCAGGAAAGCGAACAGAGCTACTCATTTAACTGCAGAGCAAAGCAAATGTCACGTCTAGGTCATGCCGATTACAGTTAAGTAAGCACAAGGACGTGCAGAGATATTTCTCCCAGCTGGATCGGGAACTACAAGTATAAAAGTCTTGCACACCCAAAGGTTATACCGGATTGGTGGCAAAGCACCAATTCCCAAAAGGATCAGTTCCCAAGAGCAAAATTACGATAACAGGCTTGTACAATGCAACAGCGAGACACAAAAGGCAGCACTGACCACTAGTTTTACCATTCTACTAAAAAAAGATCAAAATTCAGAGCTAAGATTGGAACATACTCAGCGCCACAGGACACAGTACTCCCAAAGAAGTTTGATTACTCAGACAAATATTGAGCAATAACCTACAGTAAATATGAATCACCAAGATGCCCATGAGGCCATCTTCCACAGAACAGGAACTGCAAAGCAGAGATTGACAATGATGTTCTCTGCTCCTTTCTAGAAGGCAGTAAGCAACTCCTGTGGAAACACAGCAAGACTACCACTGGTGAATACAGCCTGCAAAAGGAAAGCCACCCTCTAAGAACAAAGGATGTGTAGAACCATATTGCCCCATGCATTAGACGCAAAACCTAGAGAAGATTGGAAAGACCTTGCTAATGCTTGGTGGGGCTTTTTGTTTGGTTGGTTGGGTTTTTTTGTGGGTTTTTTTTTTGGTTGTTGTTGTGGGTTTTTTTAAGTGCTGTAAGTTTTTCTCCATTTTCAAATGACCAGATCACACATAACCCGAGATTTGAAGGGAACAAAACAACAAAGTGACTCAGTAATAATTCTGTGTCACACAAGCACACCATGGTACAATTGAAAAGAGCAACACTGAAGTGGGAGAGAGAAGATGCAAAGGAGATATTTAAGTAACCCTGTATTTTTCTTTAATGACCAATGTTACTGTAGTAATAGAAATTATTGGATACATCCAGAGAATAACAAAACACAGCCAAGCATTATGCTGTTTAATAAAGTGTTGCATCAGAAGGTATTTACAACAAGTTTCAAACTGCAGGAAGTATCAAGAAAGAAGAGGAAAAAACCCTCCATACATTCAAAAACACCTCAAAGACAAATTTAGGAAATCTCATGACAAAAGGAGACACAGCTCAGCCAACCATTAAATCCCCTCCCAACTAGCCGTTCACTAGCTAAGGCAAAGACAGCATTGCTAGAGCTTAACTAAGCCTCAACCCAGCCTCAACTTTTGGCAAAGACTTGAGCATATTCTGTAAGAATTTTACAGAATTTCACTATGCATTATCTACCTTCTAGTGTACTGGGATACGTGACTTCTAAAATAGCTGAGAGTAGGGAACAGTATCACAGGTGCCCCGTCTTTTTCCAGCTCTGAAGAGATACACACAG